ACAACCATCGGTCCACCTACGCTCGAAACGTTTTTAACGAAAACAAACACGCATCCTGCGTGCTTGTGTATTTTCCCGAGCGGAGAGAAAAGAAAATAGACGTTACGAGGCTGGATCGAACGATTCACTTTCTCTCTGGAAGCTAATCTCGCGACTTTTTGGCATCCGGCGGCGCGTTCAGATGGAAAATTACGAGTCCGAGACCTTTCTCGCCCAGCGGCAACAGGATATCCAAGTGTGTCGATAACATCCGGCGAAAGGAGCGTCACGGAAAAGTGGGTGACTCTTCGAAGAGAGGGAGAGAAAAAAGGGGTGAAACTCGGGCAAGACAATCGCGTAGGCGTGCTCGAACGAGAGGAAAGGAGCAGCGATCTTGAGAGAAATTTCTGTTAACCCCTTAAACTATGATTTCTTTTCTGACATTGCATCTAAGCGTCGGCCATTTTACGTTTCAGTACTGTATCGGGTAACTGAAGCTGATTTCTTACAGATCGATTACGTTTAGCAACCTTCAGTCTTACGAATTCAAACGAATGTTAGGGTTACAACGAATTTTTCTTACTAATATAACCATTTTTCCCACATCTTCACCAGAATCTCTGCCACGTGTCTGACAGGTTGCATAGGTTAAGGGGCTAACACAGGGGCTACAGTTGCCGATTTGTACTTACACCGATACTTTATTTCGGACGTTTCGATTGTACAACTCCAACTGTTGCTTCGCAACTTATAAAACACGCGACTTATGGAAAGAACGGCCTGTCTAATGTACGAACGCACAACTAACCTTCTTCGCAGTTTCAAAATTGTCTCTGTAACTGCTAATATTCAATTTATTCTACGACTCTGAAATGCTCCATGGAAGTGTCTCTGGACACCCAAAAAGAGAAAGCTGGGGTCCGCTTATACCTACGAACTGTTTATCCTATTGTATCGCAGTGTAGAGTATCTTCACTTTAAGACAAACTCCAAAGACACCTGGTGGAAGTCCTAGTGTCTTTGTCTAAAAGAACGCCGAGACATTTTTGTCAACTCGATTATTTCTACAGGATGTTCTTAGAAATAATCCAACAGTTATCGCGTGGCCCTTACTCGCGGAACGACTAACTGCAGGTAGCCCTAGAAATTTGGGCGACGAAAACATGCGACAATTTGGTGACTAAATAAGACGAGTCTATAGGTTAGTACGTTCTCCAGGATTTTTCTACGATGCATAAACGGTGTGTTCTCTTCGGTGAAAAACTTTAGTCGACGTCGTCGCTTTCGAAGGAATTCGCGGCGTCATTTCTACGCTCCCACCTCGCCTTTCTCTATTCGCCGACTCGTGTTATGAAACGAGACGTCGCGGATCGTGGAGTGAAGCTCGCGTCTAGCCTAGTCGACGCTCACTCGTCGTAACTCTCGCAACGCTTGGAAAATTCGAAACAATCTACGGGGAGAGAACCCCGACCTACTCTTCTCGTCTCTCTCTCTCTCTCTCTCGACAGGAGAATCGCCAACAGTTTGATCCTCGTTGAATTATTCATCTTTGTCTTTCATTAACGCCAGCTGACCGTCCGAAAGTTTCACGAGAGGAGGACGAGAAGGGAAAAATAGCCTTTTTGCAGCGAGGACGACAGCGTCGACGTCGTCGATCCGACGCCGAGAGAGGCGAACTTTCATTTCCTGGCCGACGACGATAAGGCGACGGAGCACGAGACCCGGCTAACCAGGGCCACGAATAGAATTTCTTCGGAGTACGGATGAATTATCAGCCGGATTACCAGGGGATAGAGTGGCTCGAACGATTATAACTTGCTTAAGCCGACTCGGGATCGCGTTCCTTCCATCCGTCCCTGTCCAACAATAATATTTAATTCCTGGCGTGCGGGGTATGTCGAGGATCTGGAAATTGCTTGGGATGTTCGACAGAGCGAGGGAGATTTTTTTTCTATTTTTTTAGGATTTTTATGAGGGACTTGGGATTTTTGTTATTTATTATTTTTTCGGGGGACTTTGGATCCTCTTCAATTTTTTTTGGAAGTCCTGGAATACTTTTCTTAATTTTTGGGAGACTTAGAGTGTGTTTTTATTGGTTTCATGATTTTTAGGGGAGATTAGAATTATTTTCCTTTTTTCTTTTAGGGGACTCTGGATCCTCTTCAATTTCTTTTGCGAGTCTTTGAATACTTTTCTTAATTTTTGGGAGACTTAGAGTGTGTTTTTATTGGTTTCATGATTTTTAGGGGAGATTAGAATTATTTTCCTTTTTTCTTTTAGGGGACTCTGGATCCTCTTCAATTTCTTTTGCGAGTCTTTGAATACTTTTCTTAATTTTTGGGAGACTTAGAGTGTGTTTTTATTGGTTTCATGATTTTTAGGGGAGATTAGAATTATTTTCCTTTTTTCTTTTAGGGGACTCTGGATCGGATTTCTAGGGAAGCTCACAATTATTTTTATATTTTACGATTTTTGTGGGACTGATTGTACGAGTCCAGTGCACTGCAAAACTGAGAATATTAGTAATTTTACTGTTACAAATGTAAAATATCGACGTCGTAAAGATTTTCTTCAATTTTTTTTTTAGGAGTCTTCGAATACTTTTCTTAATTTTTGGGAGACTTAGAGTGTGTTTCTATTGATTTCAGGATTTCTAGGGAAGCTTACAATTATTTTTATACTTTACGATTTTTGTGGGACTGATTGTACGAGTCCAGTGCACTGTAAACCTGGGAATATTAGTTAAATGTAAAATGTCTGGCGTCGTAAAGATTTTAATTCACGGCTTGAGACTCGCGGTAACGAGTTCTACGCCATTTTCCCCTTAATTCACAATCTAAAATTCTACTTTACACTTGATAGCCGTTGCGGAATGGAATATCACAAAAATGATCACTTTGATTTCAGTCGGTAATACGATCGGACAGCGGAATATACCAGACTGAACTTTCGAAAATTTCCAATTATACTCGAATACATTATACCCGAGAATACCTTTATTTCCCCGTTGGAAATGGAAAAATGACCAATTTTCGCGAGTCGTCGGAACTCTGTAAAATGCGTTTAATGAGACAAAGATAAGAAAAATGTTGGAACTCATCGATAAGACGCGCATATGCGCTTCTTACGGCGCGTAAGCACGGAAGATCTTTCGACCTGAAGTCTGCGGACTCTGAGGAACCAAAAAGGATCACCACAAAAGTTTGCGCATTTCCTTTCAATAGTGCAGGACGCGAGATAAGAATATTTGGGCCGAGCGATAGTCAAAACGAGTGACATGCCAGCGAAGAGTGTTTGGACCCAGTGACAGTTCTTCTGAACGAGAATGCACGCGTGATAAGAGCGATATGACCGAAAATCGCCACGTGGCAAGAGCGTGTGAATGAGCGTACACATTTATGATCGAGCGTGACCGTGTGTGAGTGAGTATGAAAGACAAGAGCGAATGTAAGAGACGAAGGGTGTGCAGAAATGAAAGCTACATTCCTATCAAACAACAAAGACCATTTGAATAACATTCCTGCAATAGTACTATCATAATTTATGTTATTTTATTCTGTACACATGAGCAACGATGTGCAACGACGTCCGACATAAGACTTGCAACTTCTCCGTTGCCTTCCTCCAGATGTCATTGCTTTTCAATCCTCAACAAGTACATTGTTTATTTATTAGATCATACATGTTTCCACTGTTGCTATTATCGACTAAACAACATATTAACTCTTTGCGGTTGTATTTTCCGTAGGCACGGTCGGAATTATTTTTTCGTAGCGCGACCTTAGTCAATTATTGCCTAAAAAACGTATAAATTTTATTCAAACGAGTTCGTTTAAGCTGTGTGCATATTATTATCCCCCCCCCCCCCTCTTTTTCCTACTGGTCGGAATTATTTTTTCAGCCAATTATTGCCCAAAAAACGTATAAATTTTATTCTGCATATCATTATTATTTTTTCCCCGTTTCTGCAGGTAAACGGCGTCCACAGAGAGTTTAGAAGGTAAAAACGCCTTGCAGGGAGTATCCTGGGGTTCGACCGCGAAGAGTTGATACCACGTGTTGTTTCATCACTAATCTGTAAGACGCGAAATTAATAAAACCAGCACAATGGTCGTCTGCCGAGTGCCTTTTTCCGCGTCCTACGCCTGCGTCGCTCCGAAAAAAAGCCGTTGGAGCCTCCTAGTCCCAATTATCCTGGTAAAGGGCTTAACCCTCAAGTATCCGGGCGACAGAGATATTTGGCCATCAGGCCACCACTCCATCGCCTAAACCTCGCGTTCCTTACAAATCGTTCAATACTCGCGAGAAGAAAAGAAAAGAAAAATACTAACGTTAAAAATATGTACGACTTTCAGGGTATCCTGCGCGGAAGGGCGTATCAGAAGGACCATAAGAAGAAGAACGTCGCGTTCACGGATTGTCTGACGGAGATAATCGGGTATGGCGGCGATGACTACCTGTCCGAGGGTGAGGAGGATGACGAGCAAGACTTGGCCGAGTCGTTGAATGGGGAAGACGACACGCTGCCAGACAGCGAGGAGGAACGAGCTCTGGGCAACCTGACACGTGCCAATACAAACTTTAACACGATCACCGCCAACCTGACGGAGATCGTCTCCGCGAACGAGACGAGCAAGTCGTCGACGGCGACGAGATCGTTTGCCTCCCTCATGCTGGGAAGAATACAAAAGGACTCCGAGGGGAAGAAGACCACTTTGTTAGTCTCGGTCACCCCGTTTGGCGGCGATGAATCTGTGCCAACAGCCAAGAGGCCGACCGATAAAAAGGTGAATGGATTCGTGAACGGATTCGCCAATCTCACGAAATGCAAGGCTACGGAGAGTAATGATAAATCGGAGGTGAGTGATGAACTTTTCTTCGTACTTCCTTGCCTATGAGTAGATGTCGTGAGTTAAAAGGAAAATTAACGAAATATTAATTATTCAGTGTGAAATCTTGCAATTGGCCATCGGCGGTCTTCAATTTTTCTTCAAATTCTGAATAAAGGTTTCAGCCACCTTTTTATATATAGCAATTGCTGAAATTTGAATTATTCAATATGAAATTTTGTATTAGGCCATCAGTGGTCTTCAATTTTTCTTCAAATTCTGAATAAACCACACTGAAAAGAACCGCAATTTATTTCTAACAATATCAACTACCTTTTTACTCTCGCAAACAGCAGAGGATTACTGGGCATCTAAACACCCAATCTAAATCAAATACGAACACCGTGCTAGATGCCTTAATATTTATGAACGACAGTGTATGTGCGACGTAGCAAGTCTCGCGACAGATCGTGTCAGGTATACGTGACGTATCATGCAAAATGCACAGTATGCATATTTAATACGAATTACCCAAGTGCACTCGTGCACACTACTAAAGTGAAACTACTGAAAATATACATTTACACCTGCTGTCGTATTTTACTCAAACACACCCATGCACACCCAATCTGACACAGAACTTACACACTTGAAAATAAAAAAAACATTCATCCTTTTCTTTCTCTTCAATATCCTCGCAGACGACGCCAAAGGGCGCGAAGAAGACGGACGCGGAGTCGAAGAGGGAGGACAAGAGGGAGCAGAAGTACCCGTCAGGCATGGAGAGGATCGTGGACATGCCCCTGATCACGTCGAACAATTTAATTTCTGTCACCCAACGGAACGAGTCGACGGAGTCTGACGACGCGAAGGATAAGACGTCCGAGGCTAACGCGCCGAACACCGAGAGGAGTTTCGACGCCGGGAAATCGGACAAGAAGGCTGTCAATATTTCACGTAGCCCGGCGATCAAGAAGCCGGACAACGAGAGAGCCAAGCTACCCGCTCAGAACGCCACCAAGATCGAGTACGACTTCACCGGGAAAATTATGAAAAAGACAGTCGAGATCGTTCGAGCGGAGGACAACGACTCTTTGGACAAGGGGATCGAGTTGACTCTGTCTCCCCTGAAAAACGACGCCGAGGAAGCGGCGGAGAGCGACAGGTCCGTGTTACCACGAGGAAGAGACACGAATAAGATAGCAGTGCCGGCTAGCGAGGGTAGAAAAATGGCCAACGAGGACTACTTATTGCTGGAGGTACGCAAAGTGGATACAAACGAGATTGGTTCGAACGAGAAGAGATTCACCTTCGAGGAGAGCAGAGAGTTGGCCGGAGAACCGGATGGAAAAGCGGACGAGGGAGATTTGACGGAGCCTCCTGCGCTTCCTAAGAGTCCACCGCCTGTGGAAGTTAGGCCTGCTGCTCAGAGCGACGTGAACAAAGTGGCGATTGTTAATATGGAGCCTAGACCGTCGTTTCTGCACGGAGCTGTTCACTCGGAGTCGAAGGTGAAACCTGTGGTGCCTCAGAAGCCGACGAATTTCATGGGGAAAGGTGGGTCTGGTCTGGTGCCTGATGGAAATGGGAAGAAGGGTTACTTGGGGTCTTCTTCCGCGGTGCAGAATGCTGTGGGCAGGTCTGTTCAAAGTGCAGGTGAGAAATTTAGGATTTTCGTTGGTGGAATTTTAGTTCCTTTGGAAGTGAGTGAGCGAAAGGGATTTGATGACAATACACGAGTGTCATCTAGGAGAAATTGTATTTTGCTGGTCGGAGAGAGGCACACTGTGCACTTATGGCTAATTTGATTGCATCGATCGTTAATTACGAAGGCGAATAAATTTTGTGAATCGGTGGAATTTTTCTGATCTCGATCTTCCTTCAGGCTTTGTTATATACCTGTCACAAGTTTATTTAATTTAATTAAAAAAAAAAGGGAGAACGTCGAGTGGAATTTGCCCAAATTTTATGTTAACTTTAGATTAGTCTAATTCTTCTTGGAGAATATCGGAACGTATTCTGTACATTTCCAGAAGACGTCGATATGTCGCAAATGTACATAATTGTGCTTTAAAATCTAAAGGGTTCCAGAAGAGAGACGTTTGACGTCGATAATTATTGGTAGAGACTTCATTCGTTGTCAAGGTGTGACAATGTTATAGAGTCTAGGATTTTAGTCCAATTCTGGAATGCTTAGTCTGGTTTCTGGTTAGACTATATCAGGGGTCGGTAACACCCAAGTGCCCGTCACCGTGCCAGACATTTTTACAAAATGGTTTCAAAGGACGATTGCGCGTAAGACGAACCAGTAGAATTTTGCATTAATAAATTCGTTTAAAATAAATACGTATCGATTGTACTTTAAGCTTGCAACTTCCCCTCCAGCAAAATGAAGGTAAAGTGCCCTTTATCACGAGCCAGCCATTCGAAGTGCCCTTTTTAACCAAAAGGTTGCTTTGGACTAGATCATCGCTGCACGTACCCTTAAATAAATAAATAAATAAACGATCTATTCAGCATAAATTCACGGTAAATTTACGACGTTAGCTTCTAACAATTGCGTAACAGTTAGATCCCTATCACAGCGATCCCGCAATTACTCATAAGGAGATCACGGGACGAGCTAGTCACCCCTGTAATTACTCGAAACGAGCCAAGTAATCTGCCGCAGCATAACACGCTCCGTCCAATTAACGACGTTTGCGCTTGCGACTGATTTTCAGGTGCGACCAGCGTCCCATCTCCGGAACAAACACCTCCACCTCGACCGATCGTCGCCAAAGATAAGTCTGAAGAGCAACTCGTCACTTCGTCACCGCCAGAGACTCGCGAAACTTCCGTCAACAGCACTAAAGAGGCGGACCAGCGAGGAAATCAGATTTCACGATCGCAGAACAACCCAAAACCGACCTGCCAAAGTATCGAGTTCAAGTCACCTGCAACTGAAACCTGCGTATCGAAGATATCACCAGGAATCAAGTCGAAGTCCCCTTCGAACCTTCCAAGGAACCAAACCGCAGACTCTTCGGATAACAACGAGAACCCAGAACTGGAAGAAGAGATTCTAGATCTTCAAGGTTCCACGGCTGAGTCGATAAGGTCGCCGAACAAGAGAAGAATGGCTCCCAAGCCACCAGCTTCCGAATCCGTGGAGGAATTAGCTCCGACGTCGTCTCTGTTCGCCAGGAATCCCGGAGCGAATTTCAAATCGGACTCTCCGGTGGTCCGGGAGAAGGAGAAGCGAGAAAGAGCGTCTTCTTGCAGTCCGAAGTTCAGAAAAGCAGTCTCCGATCTGCCGGATCCTACGAGCTCTCAATCCTCGGATCCAGCGTCGAGGAGAACGATATCCTTGTCGCAGGACAGCTTGACGAGCGGTCCGGAGGTGAGAGAGGAGAAGAAAAGGGGCAGATCGCGATTCTCCCTCAAGAGATTCCTGAGAATGGGCTCGAGGAAGGACGTGGACATGATCGGCGGATCTAATGGTAGAACAGACGAGATCCCATCGACGCCGCAGCCCAAGCCAAGGTTGGAGATCATTCATCCGTTGGAGCTGGATGGCGCTGCGGTCGAAGTGGTGGGGAACGATCGGATCAGCAGGATAACCGAAGACCAACCCGACTCCTGCGGCCCCAGAAACGACGCTGTAAGAGCAACCCGATCGCCGTTGTCCGCTGGACCTCATGCTGCCGGTGAGTTCTAGCTTTTGACACTCGATAGGGCTTTGTCTGAGCGAGGGAACGTCGAGAGAGGGTTTCTGGCAGTTTTCTGAACGAACCGGGGCAATTTAACCCTTATTTATTCTTTATTCTTTCGTTAATTTGCTCTGATTTGGTGTGAATGAAAGGTGAATGGAGTTGTGGTGCATAATTATGGCATTTTTTGATAGAAATTTATTTATTTTTATTTCTTTCGTTAATTTTCTCTATTCACTGTCGAAATTATGGTGCATAATTATGAACGACTGCGAGCATTTCTTGACAGAATTTTGGTAAAAATTTATTTTTCCTTAATTTGCTCTATTTTAATATAAACAAATTCCCCCAAAAAATTAACCCGCTAACTCAAACGAAACGAAAATCTCAAACTCGCTTTGAAATTTTTCCAAAGACACAAAAATCTTCTCCACTCAGAGACGTTCCTATTATCCCCTACGCAATCCGAACACGCTATTCCTTAACCGTTTACCGTGACAAAGTGGGTGAACGTTTCGAGCACAGAGAGACCACCGGGTGGTTCCTCGAGAATCCCCCAGCCGTTTGAAATCCTCCGCGTGAAAATTACAAGCGTCATAAACCGGCTACGATATTCGTCGCGGTGTTACAGTAAGACCCGGAAAACCACCACCACCGCCACGGAACCAGTCCCTGGAGGATTGGTCGAGGCTGGATCCAGCGAGCAAACCGGTCAGACCACCGCCGCCGCGCGTCGAGACGAAACAACTGCCTCCAAGAACCGACAAGTCATCCTCGAAATCAACGTCGTCGACCACCTCCTCTACGTCGTCGTCGTCGTCGTCAACGTCCTCCACCTCCTCCTCCTCGTCGTCGTCGTCGTCGTCATCATCCTGGCAGCCTGCAGCCTCGACCACCTCAGACTCGATTTACGCGAATCTGGGTAAGTTCAGGCCCATACAATGTAACTAATGAATTTACCACGGCAAGTTATCTCGATGTTGTAACAGCCATACTCACACGAATCCTCGCGCCAGCTGCTTCCTTCTTTATTATTTTTTCTCTCTTCATACGAACTGTTACTTCTCTCTCTCTCTCTCTCTCTTTCTATCTCTTTCTGCGAGATACATACATACATACATAGGTCCGATTGTCGGGAAATAATCCTTGTAACGCTGGATAACGGTGGTTAACTCTCACCTCCCCTCGACAAGTTTTGTTATTTTTCTCTTCGTTCCTCGTTTCGCCGGGTCGACGGTTTTATATACGTACGATCGTCGTGAAATTGGCGTGTTTTCTCTCTATCTCTTCTTTCTGTTTCTTTTTTTCTCTCTCTCTCTCTTGCTTTTTATTATCGCATCTATACAGACACGCGTTTCTTTTTCAACGGCGCGGCGCGTTCGTCTACTCTCTCTCTGTTTTGCACGACGCGCGCGCGGTTGATGAAGATTTTTCGGATGATTGATGAAGACGAACGAGGCCGCGGGATTCTTCTTCTATTCTTTTTTATTTCTCTCATCGAGGCACGCGAAATAGTCAGATTATATATTTTTTTTTGTTAGAGGTATATCACGTTTCTCGAAACTGTCTTTTCAACTTTTGCTATATGCCATATAAGTTCATACCTTTTTTTTTTCTCTTGTTTTATACTGTCGAAGACTAATCACCTTTTTTTTTTTTTTTGGAAGATTGTACTCCGTTACTCGTGTACTTTTTCGACTAACTTCTCTTGCCTGGTGGCGATTACACGAAGATTCACTGTTCTCTGTGATATACGTATATTGTAACGCGTGTATACTGTACTCGCGCGTACGCCTAACTTCGTCTATCTTTCTTTATATTTTTTTTTTCTCGAACTACTACCTTTCTCGCGGTTCTTTTGTTCTCCCTCGCAAAAAGTTGCCTCCGCGGACAGTAATAGAGTGCGATCAGAAGTTTGAGAATGGCTGGCTGAAACGAACGATAGTAAAAAAGGAAAAACGAGAAAAAAACGGACAAAGTGCGACACCAACGACTTGTGTTGTATGAATCGACGTATACGTATGATACGCACACGCACACACACACACACACTGTGTATGTAAATAGAACGAACGAATGAAAAGATTCTGTAACCTCGAATTTCTGTGTCTTGAAATAAACGTTTGTTGCCTAAAAAAAGAAAAAAAACAATACACAACCAGAGAGTGTTGTTTTCTTGGTCACGTGTTGTACCGTTATTGCATCTTCTGTTTATTTTTTTTTCTCTCTAAAATTTTTTGTTCGTTGCACCCGTCGCGAGTCCTCGCGGTTCACATAAGCGTTTATTATTGTCTGGCGGTATCTCTCTATCCGTCGCGCGTTTCTCTTCACCCATTTTCATGACGACCGGAACGGAGGCCTGCGACGACGTAATGAAACGACGACGAAGCGAGAAAATAAAGGAAGCTCGATCGACTACTTTGGTAATTGTTATCGGATTGTGCGGCCCGTTTCACGTTTGCCACCGGTTCGATATATACATACATATTTTGGGGCTTCTTCATCGTTTAACCGCATGCATCGACGAGACTGCAGTTCAAAGACTACTCTTTGGAATATCATTTATTTTTTTTTTTTTTCGGATTCATTCATACGTCATTTCATTCCTGTCTCTCTCTTGGCTCCCTCGTTTCTCACGCCTTTTAGATGGAGACTTTGGTTAGGGTGAACGGCGTGCTGTCGGCCGAACACAAGGGTGCTTCGGTGGTATTTAAGAAGGAATTTGAAAAGTTACGAAAATTAAAAAATTTGATTCGCGAGTTTTCGTGAAAATTCTGTGGAGTGTGTTAAATGAGAAGGAGTACGGGAACAGTAACACGTTCAGGAGGGTAAATTTGCGAAACGTTTGTTATAGTGAGCGTTTGGTGTTTTCTAGAATATTACGAAATAAGGTGGTGACCCACCGGTGGGTCACTCTGGTTATTCACTCTTCTTTGTTATTCATCGGTGGCTCACATCGCCTACTCGGTCTACTTTGTCATGCAACGCGTTTTTAAGTTAGAGTATCACTCTATGACTCGTGAGAGAGTCACGATATGTATTCAACATGCTTTGTCATCCACTGGTGGGTCACTTTGGAAAATAATAACATCGCCCTATGACCCACGAGTGGGGCACACTATCTATTCAATCTTCCTTGTCATCCACTGGTGGGTCACTTCGCAAAATAGAAGCATCGCTCAGTGGCCCACTCATATCGCCTACCGAGTATTCGGTAAGTGGGTCACTTCGAAAAACAGAAGTATCACTTGGTGAACCATCGGTGGGTCACATCGCCTACCGAGTTTTCTTTGTCATCCATCGGTGGGTCACTATGGAAAATAAAAACATCGCTCAGTGGCCTACTGGTGGATCACATCGCCTACCGAGTCTTCTTTGTCACCAATCGGTGGGTCATTTCGAAAAATAGAAGCATCACTCGATGACCCACCGGTGGGTCACACCGCCTACCGAGTATTCTCTGTCACCCATCGGTGGGCCACTTTGGAAAATAAAAGCATCGCTCGGTAACCCATCGGTGGGTCACTTCGATAAATAGAAGCATCGCTCGATGATCCACCGATGGGTCACACCGCCTACCGAGTCTTCTTTGTCACCCATCAATGGGTCACACCGCCTATTAAGTCTTCTTTGCCACCCATCAGTGGGTCATCCTGAGAAACAAGAGAATCACTCGATGACCCACTGGTGGATCACATCGCCTACCGAGTATCCTTTGTCACCCATCGGTGGGTCATCTTGAGAAACAAGAGAATCACTCGCTGACCCACCTGTGGGTCACGCCACCTATTAAGCCTTCTTCAATAAGTCACATCGTCCTGAACGTGTTAGAAATATCCCACAGAGCCTCCGAAAATTTTCGCAACACCTTCGCAGATCACTTTTCGCACCCTTGTGTGACAGACTGTAGATGAATGAACGACCATCGCTATTTGGCGGGAGAATTTTGCTTTGTCTACGAGAATCGAGCGGTTCGAGGGTAGAGAGGTGCTCATCTCATTTGCAGTTCGGCTGTAAATAGCGGGGCACGTCGTCGGTGACGTGTCGATCGGTGGGTAGGATTGTTACGCAAGGTTTCCTTAACCGCCCCTGGGTGCAACTAACGCCGCATGTATTGATTGCATATTAGCATCGTGTTTCTCCCCCTTCGGTCGAGCCTTGATAACGAATGCCTGCCAATTCCAGGATTCCCGATGATATTGCGCAGGAACCCTGTCATATCCCCTCACGAAACGCTACTTAATTCACCGTGTTTCGCCATGGAATTTATCCAACTCTATTCAACCCTTTACCTATACCACTTTACCATGTGACTAGGATCAATTTCACCGAGAATGAACATTCTCAGAATCTTACCCGAACTCTTTCGCTGCCGTATCAGTTATCAACCCTTTGAATAATTGAAACATCGTATTTGTAATTGTTTATTTATTAACTTTCAGCGATTACAATAAAGAATGTTCGATATAATGAAACGCGCTTTCCATCACACACGTGACGACGGACGAGACGCTCTCAGTGAGGCAATCGTGACTCGCACAACACGAAAATCAAAAGAAAAAGGTTTCAGTCGACTATCGACCACACTCATTAATCGATGGCGCACACATTCAAAATTGAAAAGAACGAAAACGCTCGTGGAATATCCATTCAACAGTAATAAACCCAAATTTCAACTCACGTTTAAAGCTTACCAAATATAAATTACATACTTTCAACATTTCTCTATTCAACGCGATATCATTCAGGTGTTGTTTAAAATAAAAGGCTGCTATAGTCACAGAAACGACGAATATTAACTACATATGTAGTTGCATCATTACCAAGTGGCAGTACCATACAAAGACAAATCACGCGTCTTTTATTTTGAGATATTAAAGTGGCCGGAATTACCCCGCCTTCCCCTAAATACCTAAGATAAAGCATGCACCAACAAAAAAAATCGCGAGGCAAAGGGTTAAATACAACAATTCCTCCATTACCCCTCCAAACAATAAACCATGCAGTCAAAGCGTTAATCCTCAGCTTCGACAAAGGTAGTTAAAGGGTTGAATAGCCAGATGTATCACCGTCATATCACATCCCCCGAGAATTTACTCGCGAAACAAGCAATCGAACGAAATTTCACCAAGTGGAGATTCTTCATCGAAGGGCAATCGCTTTAGAAAAACAAAAAGAAAACGTGTGCGAATACGTTTCATTTTTCCCGCGTTACCACACGCCGGTAAATGCGCCGTGGTACGGTGCAAGTCTCGTCTCTGTCTAGTGCGATTAGCCCGGGAAAAGAACGAAAGATCGATCCTTCTTAGCACGCTAGTACGGTAGCTAGCCTGTTTTGTGACATGCCTTGTGTCTTGTGGTACTAACCCATGGCGCTTGACGATGGCGGACGTGCCTGCAGCAGCGGAGGATGTTACAGGTGAGGTGCGCAGCTCGTTGGCACCCTCGAAACCGCAAAGAACAGCCAGCATGAGGGACCAAGCGACCTCGCAGCCGATCCTCAAGAAACACGGTTCTTCCAGTCCAGCCCTTAATCAGGATTACGAGGCCGTGGCGGTTACCGCGCCACCCACGTCCGATTCTCTGGTAATGCTACTATTAATGGGTTTTTAACGATTCTTACGACGGCCTCTCGCGTGATGCTGTTCAAGAATTTAAGGTAACACACGAACGGAAAGATACACCGAGGGTGATTAGCTTCTTTTGGAAGATGTTAGTGGGTGATTGGTCCGCGGTTCACTTTGATAATTTTTAGGTATTAATTCGTACTTTTGGGATAGCGGTGGATAGTTGAGAAACGGGCACGTTTTAGGTACGAGAGTGTAGCGGAACGCTATCGGTGTCTACCGATAAGTAGAATTTTTTTAGTTGGTACTGACGATCTGAGAAAATTACCGTGGTTACTAGAGATGGTCATTTTGTTTTTTGGGAAATTTGAGGATACTGTTTTTTATCTTACTTCGGAAGTTGGTGTGTATTGAAAAATATGAAATATTTTCAGTGTGGGCAAAAATAAAGCATTGACCTGCAATGAAATTTCGTGATTGTATACCATTTATTAAATTTTAGGGTCTAAGCCAGTGTGTGTTAAAAAATATAGAATATTCTAAGTATGGATAAAAATAAAAAATTGAATTGCAATAAAATTTGCTTTTTACGAAATTTCGATTAGTAATTGTATACTATTTGTTAAATTTTAGGGTCAGAAGTCGGTGTATATTAAAAAATATAGAATATTCTAAGTAGGGATAAAAATAAAAATTTGAATTGCAATAAAATTCGCTTTTTGCGAAACTTTGACTACGAATCTTTATCAGTGAAATTTCCAGGCAAATTTAAACACACAAAGTCCGAGAAAAGGAATGAAGCAAAGCCTCCAAAATAAATTTCAGAGAATAAACAAACACGCGGGAAATTCAAATTTGAAAGCAAGGCCGTCAAAGTAAATTTCAGGGAATAAACAACGAGTACAGATAAAGTATCCGAGTACAGATAAAAGCGATCATTCCACGAGCTATCACGTCGGACAATAATTCTTGAACAACTCGTACAATATATATGTGGCGAAGGCAAAGCGGCTTTTCGAATAAACGACTAATTCCATCTGGTTTTCCCGGACTTTTCCAGACGTCTAACGACAGTCATGTTTACGAGTGCCTTTCCAGCTCGCCGGAGTGCGACTCGAATCTTGAGCTACGACACGGCGCCGGAATTCATCTCACCTGCAAGAGGAAATCCGACAGCAGCGCGATGGAGCCCGGTGCGGAATTCAAATTTCATCATCAGACGTTCGTCAGATCGACCTCGCTACCGTATTGCGGCAGCGAGACCGAGAGCGAGCTCTACGCGCCGTATGGTTTTTACACCGGCGATGAGGTACGATTCCTTCTTATTTCCGTCGCGGTGGACGTGACTGGTTCGGTAGTTACGTCGAAATATCTTACACGTGGAGAAGTGTACCGGGTGTCCCAGCCGAAGCGGGTGACTTGAACGTCTCCTTTGCTTTTAATGTCGTGCAAAATGTTCGTAGCGTGATTTAATTATGATTTTCAAAGGGAAATATCGCGAAAGCAAAAATTTTTCAATTTTCTCAAGGTTATCGTCGTTTTTTACCTGGGAAATGTGTATTTTTTCTACTGAATTTTATAGCAGACGAGAAAATTCGTTTGAGTATATCTGGATCGTGACCTTTGGCTGAATGCTAAAAAGGACGATGTTAAACGTCTCCTTTCATTTTTAACCCCTTCACCTACGACAACCAGTCACACTCGTGACTCGAGATATGAGACAAATAGTTGTATTAGTAAGAAAAATTCATTGTAATCCTAACTTTCGTTTGAATTTACAATATTGAGTATTACTAAATGTAATTAATCTGTGACAGATTAACTTTTGTTACCTGATACGACTGACGCTTAGATGCACACTCAGAAAAAATCATAGGTCAAGGGGTTAACGTGGTGAAAAATGTTTGTGGCGTGGTTTAATTATGATTTTTAAAGGGATTTTTTCAATTTTTTCAAGGTGATCGTCGTTTTTTATGTGAGAAATGTGTATTTCTTTCCACTGAATTTTGTAGCAGACGAGAAAATACATTTGAGTATGCCTGGATCATGATCTTTGGCTGACCCTGAACACTAAAAGGGCGATGAATTTGTAAGACAAAGAAAAAAAATGATAAAATGAGGGAAAAGAAATTTCTTCCATGACATTCCTCTTCGGAAATCAGTGAAATCGTGGTAAAAACATTTTTGTACAACGTTAAATAAAAAGGAGATACTTAAATGGCGAGACACCCTGTATACCAGCTTCAAAATTCGAAATTACCCGGAAGCAGCAAAATTTCCTCCTAATTTTCTCCCCGATTTTATGTCGATCTTCGTAAAACTCCCCGAAGACACCGTCCACGGTTATATAGAAAGCTTGGTTTTAAGTTCGAACTTTCTACCGGAGAAGTGATACACGCTGAATTCATCGATCGATCGAAAGCCTAACGAGATGTGAACTGTTTAAAATATTAACGAAGACCACCCTTATAAGCGTGCTTTCATCGAACGAAGCATTTTCCTTTTACTGAAACCGACGAGAAAAGAGGAGAGCAAGAGGGAGAGAGAGAGGGAGGGAGATCGGTTTCACAGCTGCTTAGCGGACCAGGGCGATTTTATTATCGTGCGACTCGATGGCCGCGGTATTTGCGGAACTTTATTGCTCCGACGGGAAGTTCGCGGACCCCGGCCTTAGCCCAGACTTTTCTTATTTAATAAAGAGCCCGGGAAACAATTTTACTTCGGGATAGTTTTATCGGTCGCGCGACCGCGCGGAATTTATAATGGAATTTTTAAAATGCAGGGCCCGGAGGAGGATCAGGACTGGAAGAATAAGGACGACGAATTAAGGATAAGCCGATTGAGGCAACGAAGGGGACGCAGTATAGTTCATCGGAGCCTCGAGGATAATTACGGCGCGGTGGTCGTCGCGAATCACGAGGCACTCGCACAGTTTCTCGACCAGGTACTACTTATTCACAAATTCCAACCAAATCTCTACCTTTCTGTTTTCTTGACGCGTTCGCTACCGCGGTTCTGTCGAAGCGTCGCCTAATATCCTTCGAATTATTTTGACGTACATATTTAATATCTATATTTTTCTCAGTCTTACGCGATACGACAGATGCGTGTATTTATACACACTTAATATTTATTAACCCTTTGCAATCGAGTGACGACTGAGAAGCGACGTTAAATAATCGCCACTTGGTGTATAATTAACGAAGGCAAAGAACAGATCTATGGGCCTCCGTAAATTTCCTCACCACAGTGAAATAGAGAATTTCTATTTCTACGTTAGTTTGAAAAAATTTCGAAGATCCGATTTGCAACCTTTTCTACCGCAAAATCACCTCCAGTGCAAAGGGTTAAATACTCAAACTGTGCATTTTTTATGATGTATTTCGTGTAGATAATAACGTTCTATCGTGGGAATTGGTGAACACATATGTGACGCTGGTTACGAACGCGTTGAAGGGGTGCTTTTGTAGACACTACGAATATTTCGGCAATAATCGGGATTTTTTTCGATGTGTGCAATGAATAACAATTTCAGACACTTTTCTACTTATTAAGGCACTTATAGAGCATGCAAAACAATTTTTTAAATAGCTTCTTAATTGTTTGTTTAACCCTTTCGCTGTGAATTAAAAAGACGATGTTTGGTAATAAAAATGCGTATTTTTATGTTTGAACACACTTGGAAATAGCATACAACTTAGAAAGAAAAAATGAATATATGTGGATTTTTCGTATAATTGTTTCGTTAGAGATTGACGTGTACTCTTTGTGTGGTATATTTTAAAACAAGGAATACGTAGTACGATGTGCGGGCTCAACAGCGAAAGGGTTAATGGTATAGGTGGGAGTACTTCAAATTTTGTTGCAAAAATTTAACAATATCTACATTCTTGAAGATTGATACATTCGAAAAATGAAATTTTTGAAAGATCTAGATTATAATGCCTCCTTGGTGTATCTAAAAATTCTCGATCCTCTGATGCTACACAGCTACGCTTTATTTATTCGAGCAAAAATAAAGAAGAAAATTGTCGCGATATCCCGAACGAATGCTCGTTTTTATCGTTGCTACGTCGAAGCGATCATCAGGTTTCTAGTTTCCTCTAAAACGACGTCCGTCAGAGAGACGCGACGGAAGGTTCATGCATGAGAAATACAGTTTCGATCGGTTGCAGCTGAACCAAACGCCTCAAGTGCCGTCGGGTTTGCGAGCGCTGAAAAATACGAACCCGCGTATAAGCCACTTCAACATCGACGCCAATACGTCGATCAGCGTCGGCAGGCGAATATTTTGCCCGGCGACGTGGAACGAGCTGAACGTCACGTTGTGCGTCGCCTTCGATCTGGCCACACACGTGTCAAGGAAAGAATTTTATTTGGCACCTGTAATAGAGTTTATAGACAGCCTACCCAAGGAAATTACCGACAAGGCTCCTCTGCCTGGCAATAAGCAACTCGAAGGTACGTTTCTCTATCTTCTCTGAATATTTCCAATTGCGAAAGTGATAGAATGTCTGCGAGAGCTTAGTCTAGAGCAGTGCTGTTCAGTCGTTGCCCGTACGGGCAGCGTGGCAGCTCTGCGGGCAGTAAGCCACGCCTTCTCGGGCAAATGCGGGTGTATCCATGTATTTATGTAGTAACCATCACTCATCTTAACACATTATCTTTTTTTTTCAATCGGAATTGATCGAATAGCGTCTTTTCTTTCAAGCATAATTTTTTAACTAAACAATTAACTAAGAAATTTTGAGGGAAGTGATAAATTACTTTTTCCTGAAAGGTATACAATTGTTTTAATTCGTGAAACATCTGTCGTGGCATTTTTGCAGAGAAATTGAACCATTTGTAGCGATTTGTAAATTTATTTTGAGACAGATGTATTTTCGTGTCATCTGGGTTCAAATCGGAAACCTGAATGACGCGTATATGTGTCATCTGACGCTTTAATGTGTTAAGAAGAATGTGCTGTTCCCCCACTTCGGTTCAATGTTTGCGACGTCAGCCCGCGGTATTGCCCTCAGCTCTGCCCGCGGGCATCGGCGGGCGCCCTTGCCCGCCAAAAGGCCCGCTGAACGCCACTGGTCCTAGAGCGATAGTCACTCGAGCTGAAGCGATAGAAATGCGAAAAAAGAGTGTTTGGAACAGAGTACCAGAGAATATCGTGTGAACGGAGGATGCGTGACCACCCAAAGATTTCAAAAATGCCTGCCTTGAGTGAACGGAATAGAGAATTATAGAATAAGGGTGAAAGGGGCGTCTGCTGGACAGTATACAGAACAGAGAGTTGAGAGTTTGCGTGTGAGAGTCAAAAGTGAGAGAAATCGAGAGCTACAGAATTTTTACGAAAGGGATCCGATCGTTTCAGTGACCATTTCCGTGTTACCACGTCTGCAAGTGAACACCATGCAATCGTTCGGAGCTTCGACCAAGGATTTACACGACGAGGGAACGGTGAGAGAGGCTTCGTTCGTGTTGCTTCAGTTCGTCACAGCGTTGAAGAGCCTTCAGGCGCGAGGAATCGAAGAATCCGCCAGGAGTCTGAACAACGTGGTGCTGTGTAGAGAGGACAAGGACGCCTACTACAGGCTCTATCTGCTTCAGGGGTAGGTAAACGCTCGTGGAAGAAGTAGCTCGAAATTGGTTTACTCATTGCTCGATGATGTTTGACAGATTGAACGTGGAGACGAACGAGGAGAGAGACGAAGAGAGAGTCTCGTTGTGCCAGTGTGCTCTTGTAGCACTTCAACAGCTGAATCTTGCCTGCAGGTTACCTTTGATTCAGGAACTGCTGATGAGAGAGAAGGCTGTCACTTTGTCTCAGGTAATATTCGGAAAAATCATTCGGATGTTAACAGAAGGGACGAGAAGTAATTGTGCAAAGTGCTGTAGAGTTGTAAGTGATGAGGAAAGTTTGGAACGGTTGCATTGTAAAGGAAAGTATCGGGAATGAAAACAGGCGAATCTGCAGGAAACATTTGTCGATCTAGAGCGGCAGAAACTTCCCCTGCAAATTGCGAATAGCTACTTGAACGAATTTACAGCTTTATCGTCAAGACTACTCTGCTTTCTTCATCTTCACGGTGTAACCTTCTTCAATCTTCTTAATGGAGACGGAATTCTTTTTTCATTTCTCCAATTAAATTCCTATTTTTTCGAATCCTTTTGTAAACTATCACAGACACTGGTAGTTTTCTTTCTTCAACTAATTCTCACTCTAAGTTAATTGGCCGTATAAGAAAAAATTAGAGAGCTACCAAAGAAGCCCCAGATCGAAAGGAAGCTGTATATTCTCTTTTGTCACAGGTGAAATCCGTTCTGGAATTTTCTCTGTGGGGTCCCGCGGACGTGACACTCGGTGGACCACGAGAAAGAGAGATTACCCTCCAAAGATGGCTCGATCTCGAGAGGGCGAACGTTCTTCACGCATTGGTGAGGACGAGAGCTCCCCTCACAGTCACGGACGAATACCAATTGCTATTCTTGGTTCGAACCAGCGCGAAAATCATGGGAGAGGCTTCGTTGCTTCTCGACGAGCAACGAAATCGTCTACTAAAATCTCGTTAAGAAGAAGGAAGAAGAAGGAAGAAATCTTTTCATCCCCTAGAAATAGAGAGATATTTATTTAATTCCCCAATTGAACTAATAATGCTAAACGTGGAAGGCAGCGTTCCAGTTCGGAGAAATCGCTGTTGTGTACAGATCGATCGAAATTTATCGGAAGCCAGGAACGATGCACGCGAATAACGTTATCACCGGGGCCTCGTGTGGGTGCCACTGCTCTATTGAAACACGATCGCGCGGCAGGGGCCGCTCATCGATTCGAATATTCTCGTCGATTTCAGGAATGATTACTCTCGATCGCAACCGTGCCTCGCGGATTCCCGCTAATCTTATTAATATTTGTATAAATAAACGATCCACCAAACGCTGCCTGATGTATTATTCTCCCTGGCGGGTGATTTTATGGAGATCCGATTAGGAGCCGTGTGCAAAATTACCTGCAGGGTTGATTCGTATCGTAAATATTGCGCGTAACGTTTGTTAAATTAATCCCTCGGACCGCAGATTTATTCGCTGCGTGTTCACCCCCACCCCTCATTTCCTACCGATGAAAATATTCCACCTAATGTATCTAACCTACGCCAGTTTACTGCGCAAACCGTGTAAATTGAACCGATTTCGTATGTAAATCGACGTTTTTCTTTTCTTTTTTGTACAAAATAAAGGGTTACACGTATGTGAATGCACGAGACAAATGGAAATAGTTTATTTGGTAATTACCGCGAGAGAGAGAACTGGTGAATGAAAAAACGGATTATCGTCGTTATGAGCAATCATTCAGAGAAGATCACGGTGGAAGCACTGGTTGGCGAGGTGGCGTGTAACGCGTGCCGGTCGATTTATCAATGTCGCGGCGGTGGAATCCGCGCCAAGTATCCGATACAACAAATTCCGTGTAATAGCCCCACGCACGGAGATCGAGCGCGTATTATCGCTAATGCAATAACGACGCGCGATGGCGCTCCTATAAATCAATAATCCCGACAGAGAGTGTATAGCGGACGGGGTTAGGGGTTTTTGGTCGGAGGAAGCCTAAATTCGCGACACGTGCACCACCACGTCGTGCCTTTCGATCAACGGATTAAAAAGTCTGGCGTCGTTCCCAGCCAAGGTTTAAGTAATTTCGCGTCCCTCTTTCCGCATGCTTTTTCACTAGCAGCAGCAACCACCAGCCACCACCTTTCACGGAGACGCGTTTCTCCGGCGACGGAATTGGACCACGCGGCGACGCCGCGTTACCTGTGCACCAAGCCGGAAACGAGTTTTTAATTAAACCTCACGAATTTAATGGTACAAAAGCGACGCAACCGCGGAATATCTCGCGAACCGGTCCCCTTTTAATAATTTCATCCCGGCAAGACGATCCTTTTGGCGGAGCAGATGTCTGCTGGGTGACGTTGCCGAGGAATTTCCAGCTTGTGTTGCTTCTGCTGCGCCATATTTGACGTAGATTAACTGGATATTAATGGGTGATAGGGTTAAGGGTGCTTTTGTGGAGGAAATCTGAGGATGTGGAATGTCTGACGACTTTCGTTGACTTGTACTACTTGCTGGGTGGCTTCTGAGGTTTAGAATTATTTTAAATGGACGAAGGATGTCTGAAGTTCATCCCTAATCGTTTATTGCAACATTTTCATGGCTACTTTTTGCTGTGGATTTTTTTCTGGAGACTTAGACGTTAATCGTTGACTTGTACTACTTGCTGGCTAGATTCTACGTTTTAAAATTACCCTAAATTGGTAGAAGGAGGTCTAAATTTCATCCCCAATCGTTTATTGCAACATTTTAATGGCTACTGTTTGTTGTGGATTTGTTCTGGAATGTCTTGACTTGTACTACTGACTAGATTTTGTTTGGAAAATTACCCTAAATTGGCAGAAGCAAGTCTAAATTTCATCCCTAGTCCTGTATTACAACAGTTTCAAGGCCCCCTTTTTGTTGTGGAACGTTAGACGCTATTCGTTGACTTGTACTACTTGCTGGTTAGATTCTACCCTTCAAAATCACCCTAAATTGGCAAAAGGAGGTCAAAGTTTCGACCCCAATCGCTTATCACAACAGTTTGCAATATCTACACATTCCCCGCGAAGTAAAGAATCGCCTATTCACGAGCCTACTTTAACCCTCTCATCGAGCTTAAGTTTCACACCAGTAGTACGCACCAATTATTGACCGGACGTGGTTTTGTTCGGCCCAGGCGGCATAGATGTCGCACATTCTACCCTTCGAACCCTACTTTCCATTCCTTTAACACTCTCGAACGACTTCGGAACAACGTTTCACTGACAAAGAAGAACTCGACAAAACAAGTTTACAATTCCCGCGCTGCAGCAGGCGTGTTAACAATTTACCGCGGAAATTACAGATCGCCTTATTGAAATCTGTTTGCCGCGACGATATCGAAACAGCGGTTGATGCTATCCGATGGAAGATTCCTCCCTTTCGCAACATCGTTCGCGAACCAAGGATGAAGTCTGTTAAATTAATCCAGATTTCTGATAGCTTTCGTTGTATAAAACAGAGGAAAGAAGGAATGGGGGGACGGTTACACAACTTATCGTTCTCAGACAGAAAGGTACAAGGTTGAACCGGAGGATGAGAGAGTAGGAGGGAGGGAGGAGGACGAAAACAGCCGTCGTTTTTCCTCTCCACTGCGTCTTCTATCGCGTTGAGACGCCCACTATAATAGAGCTCTCAGATGCAACGAAACGCCGGTTGTTAGCAGATACCATTGCCAGATACTGAAAACAATGGCGTGCACTGAAGTAGACGCGCTTTTAAGCAACGAGAACACGAAGAAAACGCCACCGGAATTATGTTCGACGACGAGTCGCAGACATCTCCGTTAAACAGGTATCTGGATACTCGAATATGCGTGCATCGTTGAACGTCGACCCGCCGATTTATCGGCACAGGACAATGTGTCTACGATTCCTTCGAGAACGTCGACGAGTGGATTGCCTTTGTCGGCAGCTGAGAACTTTTGTCGGCAACTCGAGTTTGTCTTGTAAACTCTTTAGGCAAACATCCAGGCGTTCTGCGACGAATGTCGATTGCAGAGCAAGACAGTGTCTCTTCTCTCTTCGAATCGAGATTTCTGCGTGGGGATGCTCTTTTGCTAGTTAGGTTTAATCCGTTCGAAAGTGAACAGCCGTTGTGCAACTCTTCCAAGGAAATTCGTATTACACATTAGGTCATTCCGTAAGTTCTCGTCGTATTTGATCATTTAGATCAATATTTCCTATCATTCTTCCTTTTTCCTTTTTGGTAGGATCATTATGTCGTCGCTATAGAATTTTCTTGGATCTTCGTTAAAATATTTCTCTTTCTTTCTCGCAGGACCATTATATCGTCGCTACAAAAATTTCTCCGATTTTTCTAAAAATATTTATCGCTTTAGGCACGAACTCACGGAACGACCTAATACAATTGGAGAGAGGAATTCCAGCTTTGAACCGGCTTAATCAATCGGAAGACGGAGTTGGCGATACCGTCAAGATTCGTCTGTATTTATTTTCTCATCGGTGAATTCGTGTTCCGATGACGTCAGAAATATTACGAGCATCAGAAGGACAGGCTAGTCAGCGGAGAATGTAACACGCGAATGGCTCGAGTATCCAACTAATTAGTCGACCCACTTTAGGGCTGAGATGCAGCTGAAACAAAGTTTTAGTACGTCGGCGACGGGCTGGCCTTACGCCGAGGCCAGAGAAAAGAATAACAGAAGGCGACATTATGCAAGTAGAAGGGCTACGTTAGACGGTGAAAGCGTATAATTACCCCCGATCTTCGAGTCATTAGTTTTCTCCGCTCTTTTCCACCGTTGTCTCGCTTCACACCGACATATTTCACTCGGCAGACCAGAGAAAATCGCCCGCGGACAAAAATATCCTCCGCACTTTCTCCGACCGCCGTTTCCCACTTATTTTCCCTCGCGTTCTCTCTCTTACCTGTTATTCTTTCGAACCCAACTGTCAGCCGTGTATTTATATTCGTCTGTTTATTCGCTTATTTGTTTATTTTTATATACGGCAGATTTACGACGGGAAGTTTCAACGGTTTCGAGGTTTCCCAACGATAAAAATTCCCGCGAATTTTACCAATCAACTCTTGCAACGCGTATATTTCAGTGCCCGAACATCGACGTGCCCTGCATTGTTAAACTCTAATTCGAACCGGGAATTAACGAGCGGCGATAACATAAAACAACAGAGAATGAACCATACTCCTATTGGCATTGTTAAAGAATCCCCTCCCGCGGCGGTGATGCCGATGCCGGAATTATACTCATTCGTTAAATCTCGATACAATTAAGCTGCATCGCAACACCGTGCAACATCGGCCAGTTGCGCGTGAAATTTCGTTCCCACTAAATCAACCCTGTCTTCGATACTGCATCTAGCTAGAGCATACGAAACGTTTAATAATTCCCGACCGATATATATCGTTTGTACGTTTTCCTGGAAATTTATCTTCTCGCCCGTGAATTCGTGCGGTTGGAATTTGAAAAAAGAACGCTTTACTCTTCGCTGCGATTTTGGATCGATCCGCTGTACTGGGCGAATCTGGAATTTGTTGAAACAATGTTGCGGAGAACAACGCTGAGAATATTGTGTCGCAATGTTGCAATTCGTCAGAGACTTATAGTTTCCAAACTTGCTCGCGAATTTGGGAATTTTCTTGGTGTGATCGGTGGATCAATGCTGCGGAGGACAATGTTGCGAATACTGCGCCACAATGTTGCAATTTCTTAGGGTTTTATTTATATCAAACTTATTCACGAATTTGGGAATTTTCTTGATGTGATGGGTGGATCAATGCTGCGGAGGACAATGTTGCGAATATTGCGCCACAATGTTGCAATCTCTTAGGGATTTATAGTTTCCAAACTTGCTCGCGAATTTGGGAATTTTCTTGGTGTGATCGGTGGATCAATGCTGCGGAGGACAATGTTGCGAATATTGCGCCACAATGTTGCAATCTCTTAGGGATTTATAGTTTCC